GGGGAATATAAACTAAAACGCACTTATTGTTCGAGGGATATAAAATTGTGTGAAGGATGCACACCTGCATGCAAATAGAAAAAAATGCAATATATAATGTATTTTTCAAGTTGAGAGGTTGAAACTTTTTTCATTTTTTTAAACATTGGAATCGTGTTTCTCGTCTCAAAATATTAGTTTAATAAAAAATACAAAAAATGTTTTTTTTTTGTTTTTGGAATATACCCGTTGGATTTAACACTATTTTTGACCAATTTTTTTAAGGTCAAGGAGTAATTGTGGCTCAGTAGCAATATTTTTTCGTGAAAGGCAATTACATTAGCTTTCAAAGCCATTTTGTGTCATATCAAAATATTGCTTCTGTCGCAAGCGCTACGATTAATTCGCATAAAGTGTTAAAAAAGCACACTGTGTGCCGTCGAGTTAGCTCGAATATCTTATTTCTCAGTCGAGAAATATAATTTTTTAATGGTCAAATTACTACGGTATATTTTTCTCAATAACATATGACTCAAAACATTTGATATATCAAAATAGCTCTGTGAAAAATCCTGTAAAACTGTCAAACAGCAAAATTACTCTCTGAAGTGAGAGTAAAAAGTGAGTAACAACAAAAAGTACGGGAACAAAAAATCCATTTTTCCTGTAAAAACGTCAACCAGTGATTGCTTGACACTTTTCATGATTTTACCAGAAGAAAAAGTTCGGGTAAAATCTTGCAACTTCATTCTCTACACAACTCTCCAAAAGTCGCTCTCATTTACAGGATTTTGGAGGATTTTGGAGTACGGGAACATTTTTCATGCAACTTCCTGCAATTTCGTGTAAAATCCTGTAAGTTCATGGAGTACTGGATCAGAACTAATATAATTCAATTATAACAGCGATGGCCAGAGAGAGCTTTTACTTTGCACGCGCCCATACAAAATGTATAGAAAGCTCAAAAGTACTTTGCCCGCGGGCACGGCGGTGCCCATCGCCGATTTATAAACAATATATAATATAATAAAATAAAATGTCTATCATACTTGGGCGTAGAAAATTTTTGATTCTTATTGCCAGGGTATTCTTCTGAGAATTTTCAAGGCAACTGATCACATAGAAATAATTATCTTAATCTGGACAGCCTTAAACTTTAATAAGTAAAAACATTTATTTGTTTGGTTTTTTTTTAATAATCACTTTTTGTTTAACTCAAATTTGTTCGACCGAAAATTTCAAACTATAAGATGTTGATCGAACTATATATCGTTACCTTAACAACTAAGGCCCCATCTAAAATTCGTGTGTCTTTACAGACTAGTTACAACATTTTATAAAAACTCGAAGTTCTTAAGTTGGGAATTTATTCAAAATCCCGGGTTTTGTCAATATCGAAACTAGTTTATTGATGCAGTAGATGTTTTTAAATTCTCTTAGTCCTTTAGTGAGTAATCTACCGACCTGGGCACAAAGAAAAATTTCGAAAGAAAATTAGTTAGGTCGTTTCTATATTAAGATAACGATCGAAATATAAAAATATTAAAATAGCATATTTTTTAAATTATAAATGCATATGTATGGGCCCTTGCATATTTTAAATACACTTACCTATATTTCCACTTCCGTAACACGTGAATGCCAATTACCAGCAACATAATGCTAACAACGGTACTCAAACGCCATTTGAAGGCACTAATACTGCAAATGTCTGTATTCAAGTTTTGAGGAATTTGACTTAAATGGTCACAATGTAGTGTGAGAATCATTTTTTCGAGTCGATAAGATTTTTATAATATATTTATATATATGTTTTTAATAAGGTTGTTTGGTTTGTTTATTTTATTTTTTTAACCGACTTCACAAAAAGGAGAAAGTTATCAGTTCGTCGGAATTTCTTTTTTTTCATGTATGTTAACGCATAACTTTGGACCACGTTAACCGATTTCAATAACTTCTTAAAGGAAAGGTGTTACCTCGCAGGTGGTCCCATATTAATTTGGTTTAAATCTGATCATGGGATCGTGAAGAAATTAACGATAATCTTAAATTTTTATACGTGAATTGAAGTTGGTTTTGTTTTTTACTTAAAAATTACATGTTTTCTATTACATTTTTTGGTGATTCGAGATCTTCAATTTAATAGTTTAATACTGTCCAGTCTTACTTCAAACTTTCGTTACTATTTTGTTGGAAATTTGTTTTTTTTTTTTTATTTGTGCTGGAGATTACGAATTATGTATACACATCGAACTGGCGGGTTGAGCAAATACACAAAGCAGATTGTTGCAAATTTTTTAATTTATTTTTTGTTTTACAACTATAAAACACATAATTGTATGCAATTTGAAATTTTGCAGATATGCCAAATAATATTTTCATATAAATTTATGAATTCACACACCCGCACACTCCAACGAAATTTTAAATTTTTGCTGATTTCCAGAGACGTATAGTGCCACCAATTGTTACTGGCGGCTGCCTGCTGATCGCTAAAATCTGTGTGTTTGTATAAATACTAATATACAATCACTCTGACATGTGTACAATTGTATATACAAATGCACATACTATATTGGAATTCGCTAAACATTTGTTTATTTTTACTGAATAAACAATAAAACACAAAAATTTTTTGGAACTTGCTTGTTTTTGTGTCGAAAAAATTTAATTCTAAAATGATCTTCACTAATTTCTTTACTGAAATTCGCGTGCGTTTCCGCCGATCGCCGCGGCACATCTGACCGGAGGCAACCAAAGATTTTTAAAAATGCCACCACGCAAAGCACTCAGTTGAAGATACATTCGAGAGTGGCTGAAGATGTGCGCGTGCATAGAATGGGTATCTCCGAGATATAATCGCAGCTACCGAAAAAAAAAACAAGTCTACAAGTGTACGTACATTCATACGTATGTGCATACTTACGTACATACATATTTACATACATACATATATATCGCACTTTCGTTACACAGATGTCAGAAATCATTTATAAAGCTTTCGTTCTGGTGATCCTCGCATTAGCGAGTGTCAGGATCATATTCTCGTTTGTTCATATATGTCCATTCAAATGGATATGTACATAAGTTGTTACTGTTGTTGTTGTAGCGGTACTACTAAGCCCCGCCTAGGTGGGTTTATCCATAAGGGCAACGCATAAACTATACATTATTTAAATATCTACATACATACATAAATATGTATGGATACGGTGACCATCCGTCCTGTTTTTTGCAGGACCGTATTGTTATATAAAAGATTGTCCTGCGTGGTTTTTCAAAACGGAAAAACTTGAAAATGTACTGATTTTTGTTCTGCCTTTGCCTGCATTTCATTCGATATTTTAAAATAACTGACGTTAGCCCCTTTCTGATCAAAATATAAGCAATGCCGAGAACTGATTGATAACTACATACATACATGTGTGTGGGGCTGGCTTTGAAGCTTAATTTTGAGCGGCCACGGACAATGGATGACGAAGAACAGCATCAAAGATATCAGTAACTTCATTTTCGTTGTTGGTGTTTCCGACAGGGTAGGAGTGTGATGTAATGTGGAACGATTTTCCGTCATCCTTTGTCAAATTTGTCAAATTTCGTTCTCGAAAAATGACACTGAAGATGGCACAACGCCGAAACCGGTTTGTCTTCAAACCAAATTTGACAAGGGATGACGGAAAATCGTTCCACATTACATCATATCAGTAACCCTCTCTACAAAGAAGCATTTTCGAGATTTTTTCTAAAAAATTGGTTTTTTTGTAAATTTCGGAGCTTTTTATCAATATCCCATAAAGAAATCATATATATATATTTGTAATGGGCACATCAATACCTTTCGAACTGTAAATCTTTAACGTCCATTCATGACATATTAAGAGTGTTCGCTATGCAAAAAAAAATTGTACAAGTTACCAAATCGTACAATTGTACAATTGTTACCAAATCGTGTTTGTTTAGCCAAAAACCCAGTAAAACTTGCAAGGAAAGAGCACAATTTTGAGGGGAAGTTGCAAATTCGTGCTGAGATATAGGAAAACCGACAGTGACTTCCACAAAGAAATTGAATACTATGTTGAAGAAAGTCAGAATAAGAAGAATTATACGTACATATAGGTCCTGTTTTGTTTTCCACCTGAAATAATTTAAAAAATTTATTAGGCTCGAAATGCAACCGTGGACTTCGGCTGGCAGTGAAGCTTGCAAATGTTTGCTAATTCCTGTTCGTGCAAAACTTAGTAAGTTTCTCTCTTAGGGAGAGTAAGATACCTTATTCTCTGAATTTTTTTACTGGCTAATTCTTACTGGCATTTGCATAGCGAACAGAACTATTGACGAATAACTGCAAAGAGTCTTCGACCCAGTAATCAAAAAAGTAATCAACTTTGAAAAAGTAGACTGCCATAAAGTCGTTTAAGCCCTACAAATCTCTGTGGCCAGACGGCATATTCCCGGCACTACTTTCGAATGGTACAAACAAAATTAGTTAAAAATTGGTTACAATCTTTAATACTTGCTGACACTGGAACATGTTGCTATTAGCTGGAGGGCAGTCAAAGCAATCTTTTTACTAAAGGGAGAGAATAAACCGCCATATTATCCAAAATCCTACAGGCAAATTAGCCTTTAATCTTCAATGCAAGACATTGGAAAAACTACTGGATCACCACCTAAGAGAGGAGATACTATCTAGATATGCTTATCAAAAAGGCAAATCATCCATTGCGGCACTTCACGCTATTGACAGTGCTAGCTTCAAATGCACGAAGTGGCACTATCCAATAGAGGTGCTAGTCCCAAATGTACCACAATCAAGGCGAACCTAGAACCGGAAGAACTCAGCGTCACTGCAGTAAAAGGCTGTCCACAGGGGGGAGTGTTAGCTCCAATAAATAAATAAAATGTATTTACTTCTAATGTTTACGACATACAACAATACGACACTTACGACACAGTTGTGAATCCCTCAATTGATAATACCCTTCCCAAAATTTACTGAGCGAAACGAAAATTCATAGAACTTCAGTGTGCAAGCATACAAGGGTATAATTAGTATGGGGTATGAATTTATGTACTATGTAATAAGTAATACTCATAAAATTGTAATGACAAATATTATATTCTTAGAAGCTATAAAAATAATCGCATTTATCACATATAGCACAGAGATTGTTGGCAGCTGAATCGTCTGTTTTGACCATTACATTAACGACACTTTGTGGCTCCAGATAGAAAGTGAGGTTGGCGTCACACCTCTGTCCGTGTAACTCTATTTGAGTATGTAGTATTTTATGTAATTCGAAGGGTTTTGCGGAAAAATTAAAGCTAAATTAAATTTTAAATAAATCAATCAAAAGGTATGTATGTATGTGTGTGCATTACTTTTGACTTACTGTACACCGCATTTGCAATTAAAGAGTGTGCCGCTTTCTTGCTTTCTATCCGAAGAAGTGGAAGAAAGGTTTCTTTGTTGGCAAATGGGGCATATTATAGATGCATTGTTGTTATCTGCATCAGCTGCGTCTATCAATGATGCCTCCTCTGCTTCTAATTCTTGAACAAACCATTCGTTCATTTCATTGCGCAGTTCCATGTAAATCTCTTCCTGCAACTTCAAATCGCTTTCCAAGTTAGCAAGTTCCTCGCGCAACAATTTATCAAGATCGAGCTGCATATATACTAATGATTTAAAACAAACAACCAACAGTAAATACACTACCAAAACTTACTTCTTCAGTTATATCAGCCAGTCGTCTTCTACTAAAGTTGGCTTGTCTTGCTTCACGCACCCTGAGCCGACATTTCTAAATTAAATATAGAAATTATAGTAAAAAAGCAATCATTGTATTCGTACTTGCTTACTAACATTTCGCAATTGATCTCGTATTTTTGGTGATCCATAGCGATACACTTTGGCGGCATTTCTTGAATGTATTTTCTGTTCCACACTTGTTCGATATACGGGGCTTGTAGGACACTCCAGCGACATGTTTTTATATTTTGACCAATTTATTCGCCTCTGAGCAACGCTTTTTAGAAACAAATTTATATTAATCATTAAAACTAGTTTCAGTTATTTCAGCAGTTTTCATTAGGTAAATAAAACAGCTGTTTTTGGCGGTTTGGCTAATGTCAAAACTTTGTTTTGGGATCAAATGCACTTCCAAAAATCGGTTCGGGACTTGGTTTTGGGATCAATCGAATAAAAATAACACCCCAGCAAGAACACTGTCGGGTAAATACCGAATTGTAAAATCGCCTCATTCGCAACCGAATTTTACCGAGTGAGGACGTAAGAGAGAAAAATGGAAGAAAACCAAACCTTTTTTGTTGTGAACCAGTCATGTTTGCATAATGTATAGCCATGATACTAATATTTAATATTTATTTTTTGTATCATGATGTATACCAAAATGGGAAAAGTAGCTAATAAAAATGAACACAATGGACGAGGTAAGAATGAAACGTAACTAGCCATATAAGTTAAATAATAAACAGTTTTATGCAATTATTTACCAAGGTGCGTTCATGAAAGAATGCGGATAAACTGATAAATTTAAGCAATTTATCCCTTTATCACTTTATATGAAGAACCCTACTAATGAATTGCTGACGTGGGATGGGTGAAAAAACTACGTTAGTCCCCTTTCAGACACGTCAAGTCTTGCTTTCAAGTCTGCTCGTTCGTAGGCAAAGGAGGTGAGAAGAGAGGGGAAGAGTATACTCCGTACAGTCAATTCGTTTCCAGTTTTCTTGTCTCTTTTGATCTTTTCGTTGCTTCCCATTTAAAGAACCAAGGACTTGAATTCAATTAAAGTTGACGCGTGTGGAAGCAAATAGAAAACACAAAAGAGAATTCGAAAAAATTGCTTTCAAGACTTGACGTGTCTGAAAGGGGACTTACTTTTATCAGTTCTTTAGCTCAGGCACAAACCATTTCCGATTTGACAGTTTACGTTTTCGTCAGTTCTACCAACATGACTTAATTAGCTAATCGACCGCATCCAACATGGCCATCAACTTCCTTTCGCCTTTTCCTTTTCTTTTCAACGTGCTAAGTGACAACTTAAGGTTAGCAGAAAATTTGGTGTTTTTCACATACATTGCATAGAAACCAAAATTTTGGCAATTTTAAAATATTCCTGTAATATTTCTATACAGATGACTGCCACCACGGCCGCTAAAAAGCCCGAAGCAAAGGGCAAACCTTCCAAGAAGCTGCCCGCTGTCCCAGAGTCGAAGCTGAAATTCAGCAAGAAGCAGGTTAGCAAACGTGCTATACTGATCAAGCGGAAATTAAAACGCTCTGCCGTGATTGCACTCCGCAAGCGTGAAAACTTGGTGCGGGCTGAGAAATATCAAGCGAAATATCTCCGTGATGAACGCCGTGAGATCAAGTTGCGCCGTTTGGCAAAGAAACGCGGCCAATTCTACGTGCCTGCAGAGGCCAAATTAGCTTTTGTGATCCGTATCCGCGGGTAAGCTATTAATGTGGAAATTTTACGCTGCCGGACACTAAATTTGTCTTTTTTAACATCAACAGTATCAACAAAGTTGCACCAAAGGTGCGTAAAGTTTTACAGTTGTTCCGTCTTCGCCAGATTAACAACGGTGTGTTCATCAAGTTGAACAAGGCTACTATTAATATGCTACGTATTGCCGAACCTTATATTACATGGGGCTATCCAAATCTAAAATCGGTTCGTGAGTTAATCTACAAACGTGGATTTGTCAAACACAACCGTCAACGTGTCCCAATCACCGACAACTTTGTAATCGAACGCAAATTGCGCAAAGCGCATGATATTCAGTGCGTTGAAGATTTGGTGCACGAAATTTTCACCGTTGGATCCCATTTCAAGAAAGCCTCCAACTTCCTGTGGCCATTCAAGCTCAACACACCAACCGGCGGCTGGCGCAAGAAGGCTAATCACTACGTTGAGGGTGGTGATTTCGGTAATCGTGAGGATAAGATCAACAAATTGCTGCGCAAGATGGTTTAAAAAAATTTGTTGGTGTACAAGGTGGAGTATTTTTATTGCAGAAATATATAATAATAAAAATAGAAAAGAATGTTTTTGTACCAAAAGGCATAACAAATTTAACATGGGGGTTCATTTGATTCCTAGGGTCTATAAAATAGGAGTTCGATGCTTTTATATTAACGGATTAAAGAGACAATTTAATATAAAAAAAAAAAAAACGTTTTAGTTTTCTTCTAATATATTTCCGTTAACTCCAAAATTAAAAAAAATAAATCCTCGTGCATATCGAAGTAAAACATTTTTTAAAAATAACCGTTTGTTCAATTAACCGTTAGCTCAATTTATATCCTGAAATTTTTGGAAAGCCCCTGAATAATTGGAAAATTGAAACTAAATTACAATTTGTAACTTTTGGTGATGCACCGCGATACATTCGAAGAGTAATCAATTCCACCTTTTATTATATCGGGACACATTTTAAAAACTTTTTTGTCTTATAGTTGATTTCCACCAAGCCTTAACTGCAGTTTATGCCGATTGGAAAACGGAGATGCCAACTCGCAAGGAGGTAATTCCACCTATTAAGTAGAAGCAAACCAAAGGAAGAAAACAAAACTTAAGAAAAAAACCTGGAACTTTTCTGAGCTCTTAACTGCAGTTAATCCTTTGGTGGAAATAGGCTTTAATGTTTGTGATCCATTTTTCTTTTATTAACCGACTTCAAAAAAAGAAGGTGGTGTTTGAACCACGTTAACCGATTTCTATAATTTTTTTTTTTTAATAAAAGGTGGTACCTCAGAGGTGGTCATTGGTGCTTGCAGAAATTAACTTTACTCGTAAGTTTTTATATGCGAATTAAAGTCGGTTTTACTTTTTGCTTAAAAATTACTTGTTTGATGATAAAAGGCAGGTATTTAAGCTTTATTTTTATTTTGTTCTAAGGATTCCACAATGCAGCGTTTTTCTACTATAAAAGTAAAAAAAAATGGTAAAATTGCGTTTTTTGATACATTTAAACCAAGATATCTAGAAAACTAGGCCAAATCCGGTTGTCTCTTGTGCATGACTCGACTGTTTGCTCGAATAAATTAAGAAAGAGCGACCGGAATTGGCCACCGGAAAAGGAGTTGTCTTCCATCATGACAATGCCAGGCCACACACATCTTTGATGACTCGGAACAAATTGAAGGATCTTAGGGGTTTTAAATCCACCGTATAGCCCCGACCTTGCACCATTTGACTTCCATTTGTTTCGCTCTCTACAAAAATCTCTTGATGGTAACAGCCGCTGAAAATAACTTGACCACAGCAGTTCTACCAGGCAAATGGCAAAAGGTCATAGACACTAAACGCCAATATATATGTACTTGATTAAAATTGATTTTCAAAAACATATCTACCAAAAATCCGCGGAGACTTTATATTAAAAAAGTAAAAGTAATTCGTTAGCTATTTGGTTCCATTTGTCCCAAAATGGACCACAGAATCAAGCGCGAACTAGAAACAACCAAGATGACAAAGAATTATATATTGCACGGGAATAATAGTAGAATCGCATCATTGGTAAATGAACATTGCTATACATTCAATTGTTTCGGAAGATTATCACACACAGCTTTACGATATAGCCGTTCTAGGCGCACAACCACCGGACATCGACGAGATGGGGCTTCCTCTGCCTCGGAAGACAAGAACCACAATAGCCCAACTTCGCTCTGGCTACTGCAGCAGGTTAAACTCATACCTGAGCAGACTAAACGCAGATGTGCCAAATGAGTGACCGGCATGCGGGGAGACACCCCATGACTCGAAACATCTCTTCGTATGCCCGGAAAACCCGCCAACCCTAACGCTTTTGTCCCTATGGACCGACCCTATTGAGGCTGCACGCTTCTTAGGGCTTCCGTTAGTGGAGCTTGGCGACTACGACTGAGATATTAACCGATCTGGGCGGGGTTGTTGTAGCCGCTACAACAACAACAACATACGATAATGCATTTGTTATACTAGCTTTATTACATTGAACTGATCTTGTAATGTAATTATCTTAGAATGTTTAGGGCCGGTTGTTCAATGTCTGGTTATCACTACCACTACACTATCGACGATTTCGACATCATGCATGTCGTTCCCACGACAGTCGGGTCTACGTAACCGGAACGACCCAGATTTATATCTGGCCAAGGACTGTCACTCCAGCAACACTCCCCAAAAAGTCTTTGGGGAATTTGTATGCTGCTACAACAACAACATCATGCATGTAACATGTGATCGATAAAGCAGTAGTTGTGCTTAACCGGAGCTTCTACCTCCGATTTGTGCTAATCAGATATTGAACAACCGGCCCTTAATGTGTTAAATTGTTATATTAGTACAAAGTAGATCGGCGTTAAGCGTTAATAAATTAAATGAAAATTATCAGCGAGATATGTAAATATTTATAAGTCTTTAAAGACTTATTTTGAGACTAATACTATACAAGTATTTTCATAATAATTATGAGTGAGAAAAAAATTGCTAAACCTCAAAAGGACGAGGCTGTTCAGGCCCATTTCGGAATTAGTTCGGGATCACTGCGTTACTAGGTTGGGGCTACTTTGTCTCAAATTCGGGGCTAGTTTGACACCAACTCGCGACTAGTTGTGGACTATTACAGGCCTGGCTCGGGACCAATTCTAAAAAATCCTGTTGGTTTTTGAGAACATTTTTGTTGAAGGCGGTGCGCATTTTCTTCCTATAACGAATGAACAAAATCTGGGTATATTCGAGCCACAATTAGTACGGCAATGTCACTCTTTATGGAAGAACATTACGTTTTACGCGAAAATTTTGGGTGACTCTGCCTACGTACATCAGTTGCTCATTATTGGCAAATAAAAAGCAACATACAAATTTTGGTAGTAGTACACTTTAGCGGAACCTTGCCAAAAAAAAAAAATCTAAACAAACGTGATTTTTTAGAATTTTCAAACGTGCATAATATTATACTAAAATCGAGAAGGCTACAAAACTGCATACCCCATAAATTTCTAAAAATTCTGAATAAAAAGTTGAAAATTTGGAAGACATTTTTTTTAATATGTTAAATGTTCCTGAATTGTACACAAAGTTTTGAACATTGACCCTATGGTTTATGTTATAGAATCTACTATATTTTTATAAAAAATTTACGAGAAAAACTTATCACGTAAAACATTGTGAATATCAATTGTAAAAAATAAATGTGTGCTATTTACGTGAGCGCCACTGTAAGACTGTATCAAAAAACTTTTGCTGAATTTCCACTGGGCATTGAAATTACAAAAAATGTGTGCCATTTATAAAATTCCATTAGGAAATGAATTTAATGACAATTTTTTTAACGTAATGACACGATTATTTTTTAATGCCCAACTTTGTCATTAAAATTTGGATGACTTTTTTAAAACTCCACTATGAAATAATTGTTATTCTGGGTCTCTGTTAGAATGTTTGAATTTCTCCATAGAGCTCTTATTCTTTTGAAAGATTTTGAAAGGAACGTCGCCATGACGGTCTCATTTGAATAATACGAGATGTGAAAAACTTTTAATGTTGACTTTACCTGATACACGTATCGAATTGGAAGGCAGCATAAAGGTGGCCTCAAACTGATGCGATACGGTATCGTTTTTAATGCGATAAAGATAAAAAGCGAAAGGTGCGATATGATACAATTTTTGAACGCGTCGTTATGCAGCGGTATACCGCATCTGTTTGAGCACTCCCATATACCGCAGTGGTTTGTATTGATCGCATATCGTAAATTGTCGTATGGCATCTGTCTGAGGCCACCTTAACAGTGTGATATATTTAGGAAAGTTAAATATCGTTCGACGATATAATTATATAAATATATCCGTTCCTTCCAAAGTACCCAATAAACATTGGGATTGGTTAACAATTCGAAAATGATTGGAAAACTAACATTATTTTCAAGTCTCATCTTCGATAACGAATGTGGAATAGTTTAGTATTCGATTCGAGAACTAGGCCATTCTCCAACAAAACGGAACCTTCGTTTTCCAATGAATTTTTCCTTCGTTATCAATTCGAAATCCAGCCCATTATCGAATTGAAATTTTAATGAGAGAGCGCGATTGTATTATATTTCCATTCGAAAATGAGCTGGATTTCATTTTCTCTCATGTTACTATGGTTTCCATTTTTTTCGAACCCATCTCGTGTGTATTTCCAATATACTATGAACGTTGGAAAACTAAGGTTGTTTATGAGTTCGTTCTCAGTTCGATATGCATATTGGAAGCACATTTTCGAATGTTCGCCAAAATGTTTATAGGGTAAATATATGTTTATGTATGTATGTCCATTTCAAAATTAAACAAAGAAAATTGCTTATATCCTTTTTATTGCCATTAATTGTAATTGTATCTTTGAATTGCATCATCTGCTTTCCCTTTTACATACTTTTAAATTACTTTATAATTTTATTGCGAAATCTTGAATTGCATATTGAACGAGCGCTTGATACGATACTACCTTATTTTTAAATAACTTAATTTTTGTGGTATTTTTTTCGGAGTTTACATGGTATTTGCAATAAAATACTTATGCTTTATTAGCTACATATCTTCATGCAACGAGAATTAGGTCTGATAATACAATTGTATTTTACTAAATATTTACGTGGAAATAATTACGTTTTTAAACTCCGGTCTTTAAGTAAATTTCTACTTTTCTCAATAATGGAAATACATATTTTTATATGTAAATGTTTATGTTACACGTAACATTATTGTAAACTCTCATCAAATGCACACCAATCAATACAGAACAAACAAAACAAGTAATATTTGTTTTGCGATCGTTATTGTTGCAGCAATTATTATCATCTTATTGTTGTCCATGTGATACACGAATATTTTGAAAATGTCTTTGGTCCCAGTACTCCTCCAGGTTGAAGGGTTTGAAATTTTTTAGTTGATGGTCAGATTCTTGGCAATAATTTATTGGCGTATTTTGTTCATTTACCTGAAAGAATGAATTTCTTTAGTACATATGTATTTTCATGTATTTACAGCGTGGCGACGAATAACTGTTACCCAGATATTTTTGAGAAATAAAAGAGTCCTTTATAGATTTTGCGAAAAAAGTATTTTATTGTTATTTTTCCACAGATTTTACTTTAGTTGCATTAATTAGTTTTTAAATTTTAATCCTTATTTACATTTGCCAGCAGTGTAAACTTTGAGAGGAAAGTTCATTTGGCACGCAGGTCTTCGTCAGTTAATTTATTCCATATCTTCTGTAACCATAGGCTAATTTTCTCCATTTTGAGTCCCTTATACTCCCCCTTCTGTCCAACCTAAGGCCTCATACTCAAAAATCGAATAGACTCGGAACTGGTGACTAGGACGGTCATTCATTCGACCAACCTTATACAGTTTTTTTCTTTTTTGTACTTTTTTTATACAAAGCCTAAGAAAAAATACACCTGAAAAAGACTTGCGTGCCAAATGAACTTTTCTCTCAAAGTTTGCACTGCTGGCAAATGTAAATAAGGATTAAAATTTAAAAACTAATTAATGCAACTAAAGTAAAATCTATGGAAAGTTATCAATAAAATACTTTTTTCGCAAAATCTTTAAAGGGCCCTTTTATTTCTCCAAAACCTGGGTAACAGTTATTCGTCGCCACGCTGTACGTAAGTGAATTTTATATAAAACAAATTTTAAAGAAATAACATTTAACAACTGACTATATAAATCTAAAATACAAATGAAATATAGTATACGAAACAATTATAAAACAACAAGTAATTTTTAAGCAAAAACAATAAAAATTTAAGATCATCGTTAATTTCTTCATAAGCCAATGATCGGATTTAAACCAAATTATTAAGGGATCCCCGTGAGGTAACACCTTTCCTTTAAAAAAAAAAAAAAAGAATTATAGAAATGGTTAACGTCATCCAAAGTTATGTGGTAACATACATAAAATATTCCGACGAATTGATAACATTCTCGGTTTTGTGAAGTCGGTTGAAAATATGAAGGAAACCTGGCGTTTTAAGGAGCACTGCGAGAACAGTTTATTCTCCAAAAAACTATGCCTTAATTAGAGCTTATGCAATCTGGACAAGCTTAAGCAAAGATACTCGTCTTACTGAAGAAATTAATTATGGTGTAACAATTCCCTAAAGTTGCAATTTTTTCCTATATAATAAACATTTTCAAATTAAACCAAACATTCCTAAACTGCTTTAAAGTGATATTGTCCCAATAATTGAGTGACAACAAAAACTTACAAAATCAAAAATCTCATGTATCCAAAAGTTTTGAGTGAAAAAAACGTCTTTTCGTCAATTTACATATGTATTTTTTAATCACGTTGTTTTAACTATATTTACGAAAATTATCTTATTCGCGTTTAAATGGCTGTTGACATGCCAACTCACCCCGTCAAATTGAAAACAAAATGCAAATTTCAGCAACATATTTTTTGAATTGAAGTTAGTGAAATTCAACAACAAATAGCAAAATTTAGAGCATACAAAATTTGGTAGTTTGCTTTTCAACTAAAATTTAATTAAATGCAGTAAATGCTTATTTGATCCGTTCGAATCTGTGCATTTCAAACAATTGAAAAAATGCCTCGAAACCGCAGCAAACGCAATTCCCAATTTGACCATAATCGTTCCACAAGTCGTCGCATACGCCCAAGCAGCCCGCCATCAACGCCAGGCTCAGTTTGGTCGTTTGCACCAGCATCACTACCAATATCGAATTCGGTATCAGCAAGCGTGTCTTTGTGCAGCACCAAGCACAGTCCCCGCTCTGTTTGCGGGTCAGAATCCTATATGGTGAGTGATGCTATTGCTGATGTTGAAGTTGATAATGGGGATCCCGGTGAGAACTTTGATCAAAATGAGTTCGCCAATGCCTTTTTGGACTATCATGAATACTCATACCATGAGTTTGAACCTGCTGAGCCTTCATCCCATTTTTTCATTAATTATCAGGTGAGTTACCTATATATCATAAGTTCGTACATACAAAAGACTGTTGGCATCGTTAGTGTTGGCCTTTAAAAAAACAAAACATGGCGCACATTTCCTAACTATCTGGTTGAAGTTAATGTAAACTGAGAGTATTTAAAAAAAAAAAAATACCAGAAAAAAAAGTATATGATGTCTCTAATCTTCTGTACAAAAAATTTATGGAGTTTTCCTGTATGTAACATTTTTAGGCATACTGCATTTATTCGTTCGTTATTATTTTTGGAGCAATTTCAGATAATGCATGCCAAATCGGGTTTGGTCCGGTCGGGTCTCAATGATTTTTTCTACCTGTGGGTTTTAGAATATGTGTTCTGCACCCCTTCCGGCTCTGCCAGAAAAATGAGGTCCACGCCCATCTCTACTTCGTAACTTTATTAATATATGTACATACACATACATACGTATTTCCCCAATACATACCTACTATGCACATAAACTGCATATAGTGCTTAGAGACTTACTTTTGTCCAGGCCTCCCTGATATATCGAATCAGCTCATCGTGTTGCGTGGGCGGTTCGCGGGACACTGAGGATTGTGGTGAATAGGTGCTATGGTTGGAGGTTGAGTATTGTGACGAATTATTACGATGATTATCTGAAGGCTGATTATGTTGATTATTGTTCGAAGATGAAAGTGATGATGATAAAGAATTTGATTGATGTTGCTGCTGGCCTGCGCGCCGTATTGGTGTGTAACGATTAGAACTGCAAGTAGAAGATACATGTGATAAACTAATAGTGCATTAACGGCACGTTTTTAGTAACTGGCAAAAGATTTGTGTATTATTGAATTTTCAATATATAAAAAGAACTACGCATATATGTATGTACGTATGAATGTACATACAAAGGTATATGTGTACATGGGTGCGTTTGTGTGAGTACGCGTGACCAGATGCATTCAACCCTACTTGGATAAGATTTCATGCGAGGAAATAAATATATTCGATTTTACCCCTGCTTATACTAGAGTATCCGCACTAAATGCATTATCTTATATCTCTTTTTATGTGAACGAAGCAATTGAATATGTAACTGGATGCATTAATTGCTGCTTACATATGTACATAAACGTACATGTTTGTGTATATCGACACGCAGTTGGTCTTAATTTTCGCAAATTTCATAGCCATTTTACAAAATTCTGATAGTCAAAGCGGAGTTGGTAGCTAAGGCCTTGGCACCATTTTGCTTATTCTGCTTTCTCTGTGCTTTTCTTGCCAAAAAGTTCCACGACACACAAATTAAAAACTAACTTCCTAGGAAAAGCATAGTTAACTTACCCGTTGTTGCGTTCCATTGTAATTTTTAGGATTTAGTGTTTTCTACTTATTATTTATGCGCTAATTGTTATGCTCTTTTTGCATAGGTTGAAAACCTAATCCGAGTTCAGTTTTTTAATCGGTATGGTATATTGTGGTTCTAACTATATATTTGCTGAACTTAACTTGTGTATCTTAATTAAAACATCAAAAAGCAGACTACACAAACGTCGATGACTTTTGACTGTTTTTGCACTTCCAAATAATTGCTTTGTTTATTGTAGATCTATTTTTTATTCGTTTCTCTTTACATTCATCGTTGAAGAGTTGCCAGAGAACTTGATTGTAAATTGGATTAAGGGTCCCCGCACACTGCACACTTTATCGACCACAAACTAAATAGTCGGGTTGGTGGTTCTCTGCAGACTAAAACTGATGCCAGATAAAACTTTATACGTATTGCGTGACGTTTATAACATTGCCAGCGAAGCGCCAGACGCAAAAGGTATGCCACAATGAACGCCAAGAAATCAATTTTGCACTGCTTTTTTACTCATCAAAATTACTGTGGATTTTAGATATTTTGCTTTAAAATTAGCAATGTAATTGAGTTTTATTATTATTATTATTATTATTATATTAAATAATAATAATTGAGTTTTATGTTTCTGCATGAATACTCGAATTTGGACGAAACAAAATAAATAGTAAACCGACTGATTGTCAAAGCGCGCAAAAAGATGGGAGTTGGCCATCTTTTCGCTTTGTGCTGCAGCTTAACGATCTATGTGGCATGTCTTGTGCATTTTCATACAATTCGTCTTATTTGTCCAAGCGAATCTGTCACGTAAAGCGAAGGAAAAGTTTTATGTGGGCATTTATTTATTTATTTATTTTTTACAATCTGTTAGACTTATATTGCAACAAAGATTTAACATTCTTATAATTAGATTCAGATTTAAAATGTAAATATTAAGTATTAAATACAAAATACAAAATGCTCCACGGAAATTTTTAAATAACATTATTTCTTTATCATTGCAATTATTTTATGTCAATATAAACGCATGCAAATTTCTGGAAGTTATGTAGACGGTTGGAAAGGCCGAGTTTCCAATCCGCGCTATTCTTTTTGGGTTACTCCATTTCTTGATATCTCCTGGGTGGTCGGAAAGGCCGAGTTTCCGATCCACCCAGTCGCGCTTTCGTGACGGTTGGAAAGGCCTAGTTTCCAATCCGCTCGTTTATTGTTTATTATCTAAGGGTGTAGGTAGTCGGAAAGGCCGAGTTTCCGATCCGCCTAGTCTCGATATCTTGGTGGTTGGAAAGGCCTAGTTTCCAATCCACGCTATTGTTGATACATCAGCATCAGCTTAACTGCCGTACCTAAACCCCACATCTCCATTTTCTACTAAACTCGTCTTATTAAACGATGTTTCCATGGCAAGTGATTCGCTCTCCTATTCGTAATTCGCTCTCTCATTCGTAATTGGCGCCCTAATTACGAACCGAATCACGTAATTCGCCATACAAAATTTTGAGAGCGAATCACTTCATTCGTAGGTGATTCAGATCCAATCACCATGCGAATCAAGAAATTAACATATCATGAAACAATAATAGGGGGCTTGCTCAAAGCTTTGTGCTCTCGTTCGTCTAAGTATTTCAAGTTGGTGGTTCACAGCTGACAACAACAATTGCGTACAAAAGAGTTGCTGTGTGTAAATGCATAGGGCAACACCAAAAGGGAAATCGCCGATAATAAGCAACTCGAGTTTCCGTGTCTGAACGCAGGCTGCTTTGTAGAAGTGGAAAACTTTCGATAGTATTGACTATC